CTTTTCAAGGATAATTAAAAGATGATTAAGGGGACAAGATTTAAGAAATCGAGAAGGAAGCAAAGGCAACTTGACGAAGAAGATTGATTCAATCATCCAAAAAATTAGTTTTATCTTTCTTTTCTTCATGTTATTCTTTATGAATTGTATAGATTTCATGTCTCATATCATAAACTAAGTAATTCTTATGGGATTTGATTAGCCAAAATTTGAGGATATGATTTTATTTTATTTTAGTTGTTTCTATGAAATTTTCAAATTTCATTTATTTGTGTTGTTGATTTAATGCTTTTAATTAATTGATCACTAATTGAATGATAAGACGCTACTCAATTCTGGCAATCGAGATAGGGAATTTAGGGGCGATGACAACAATAACACAACATAGAATTTATATGTTTTGAGAGAAAGTGTAGTATCTATGAAGCTTGCTCCATCTAAAAACCACAATCTTGATAAATCTTGATCTTAATTCAGAATATGGATATTGGAACTAATTTCTATGATTAATTTTTACTCCATGCACAAGAAAGGGTGTAGAATTACATTAGGGTTCTTATTGTAAACATGGAAAATCGACTAGAGATAACTGGGCTTTTAAAAATCATATTTTATAGTTGGGTGAACTCATACTCTAGGCTTTCCTATATTGATTAATTCATATAACTTGCAATTATTCAGTGAATTTATCACAATCATCTCTAATTTAGATAAAAAAAAAATTATTCAAAAATTCATTTATCTAGATAAAATAGATGCTACACAATTATAGTAATTAGTATAAAATTAAATTACAATCCCTGTGAGTTCGACACTCTAACTTCATTCATGTTACACCAAAATTGACGTCGTACACTTACGGTATAATTTACTTTGTATAAGATGCGTAACAAGGGACAAGTGGCCTCATTTGAACAAAGAAGTTTCTCATGTCTCCTCCTATGTATCAATCAATCAATTGTAGATGTGCGGGCATTTAATGTGACTTGACCTCGTAGCGTCATCTATTTTCTTTGCTAGCTGTTATGTTAGCAGATGATATGAAGCCTTTTCATGAGAGATGTATAAATATTCTTTTAGTGTTAAAATGCTTGGATTTAAATATGTTAAGGATATGTACACAAATGAAGAAATTTTTCTAAAACATATATGTCATATGATAAAGGTGTAGTGGACAAGGATAGAGGATAGGTTTAGTAAGATGACATTTCATTCCATGTCATAAAATAGATGATGCCATGAACATAGCTGATTTTTTCTAGTGAGATAGTACAACTCCATGGTATACCTAGGAATATTGTGTGTGATAGGGATGTTCAGTTCCTTATCTACTTTTGAAGAGTTTCGTAGGGAAAGTTGGAAACTATGCTTTCATTTTGTACTATATGTCACCACAAATAAATGTACAAATTGAAGTAGTAAATAGGACATTAACTCAACTTTTATGAACTAGAATAAATATGAATTTGAAAAGTTGAGAGGATTCTTTATCATCTATAGAATTTGAATATAAGAGGATCATACATTCAGCTACTATTCTCCTCTAAAATTGTATATGTTTTCAATCAGCTAACTCCGTTAGATTCAATTCATTTACCCGTTGATGAAAGAGGTAGCTTTAATGGGAAAAATAATGTTGAATTAGTAAGGCCAATCCATGAGAATGTTCAACGTCAAATTAAAAAGAAGAACGAGCATTATGCTTCTCAAGTAATAAAAGAAGAAGACATGTGACATTTGAACCAGATGCTTGGATTTGGGTGCACATGCGGAAAGAATGATTTTCAGCCCAAAGAAGGTCTAAATTACATCTTAGAGGAGATAGACCATTTCAGGTTCTTGAAAAAAATTGGACATTCTAGATGAGTATAATATGTCTGCTACTTTTAATGTTGTTTATCTTTATCTCTTTGATGCAAGTAAAGATTCAAGGTTGAAACCTTTTGAAGATGAAGGGAATGATGAGAATCATGAAAGGCAAGCTAGCAAAGATCTTTTAATGTTGGGGATGCACCAATAAGATGTCCAACCTTAGTTCTTTTGATCCAAATGAAGGAATAAGAAGGATGTATGAAAACGTGCAGGATGTACATAATCATGCGAAACTTTTAGCTTGATTATCGAATTTTTATCTATCAGTAAAATTCAGAAGCATTTTTCGATTGCACATGTTTGTTGGATGATGTTATCAAACTTTGAAGGTCAAATTCCATTGGTCATGGATCCATTTTTTTAGCAGTTTTCCAATTTTTAGTTAGTCTAACGGTTTTTTTTTTCATTATTTCACAATATTTTAGTTTCATTTAGAATTGTTATAGAAGTTAATTAAATTTGTCATGTTTATCTAGTTATTTTACAAGTTAACTAGGTTTGTCATGTTTATCTAATTGTTTTACAAGTTAATTAGATTTTTTTTATGTTTCTCTATATAAAGCATATTCATTGTACAAAAACATAACACATTATTATTTGAGAGATTAATTATAAAGTAGGATTTTCATTTTCTATCTTGTTCTAAATTGAACTATCCGGAATTTATCAATGATTTTCAATCTCTATGGTGTTCAAACATTTCATCCTTGGTTTTTAATTCAAGAAATCATTGGGTCATTATATGATTTTAGCTTTCATGGGGTTCGTATCAAATCCTGTGTGATTCCAGGATACATCCTGCAACAGGGTTCACATCATCGTCATTCTTAGATTGTAAGAGATTATGATCTATATTTCATTTAATTAAATTAATATTGAAATCCTTGGCCAAAGTAAGTACATAAGTTAAAAATGATTTTCGATTGTAATTGAATTAAGAGTGAGATGAAAGATATGATTGATAATTGAGATTGACATACTTCAATATCTCGTAATTGATTGGATCATATTAGAATCATATTTTCTCGACAAAATTACAAGTTTGATTTTGTTCAGCATATGATATTTTCCGTCACATGTATTGCCATAACACATTTGCTAGTTATAAATTAGGAATGACCCTTTTAATTTATCTTATGCTGATTAGATCAAAATAATAAATTACATTGTCCAATATCGTGATCGAGAATCTCACAAAAAGAGAGAATTGTAAAAATAATATTAAGAATTAATTAATGGACAAGTATGGGACATTTATATAATTAAATTAGTTTATAAGTCAATTAAGTAGATTAATGAACTATGGACTAACCTTAATTAATTAGATTATTTAAATATTGAATCAATTTATGTTTAATGAGTGGGACAAACCCACAAAAAAAATCTATTAGTAATCAGTTAGAATTTGAGAAAGAAAAAATAACATATCTCACAATTATCATGATCTTGCTAGAAGAAGAAAAAAATATTTAATCTCTCATTCTTGTTCTTCAATGTGGATTATAATTGGATACTAGACAATTAGACAGCTGTGGTGTGAAATAGTTGGTTAGATTAAGATTCATAAGGAGAAGTAAAGATCATAATTGTCAGTGATCAAGATTCTCAAAAGAGTTTTAAGAATTTGCTGAATGTATAATTCTAATGATGATTTGTATCTAAACACAAAGACAATCTTTGAAGAGAATTGAATTTATTTTTTTAAATTTCGTTGTGCATGTATAAATAAATTCCCAACAACTTTGAGGAGTTTATATATCCCAGGGCTTAGCGATGAGCCAAGTAAAATTAACTGAACTTACTTGTATCTCTAGTTAGGATGTAAAGGGATCACTTGCAGGGGTTAGCCCACATGAGGCTCGGGTGGACCCGCTAGAAAATTTGTCCAAAATTGCAAAATTCTTCTTGTTGGGAGAGTTGTTTTTTTTTTTAGATTGAATTGGATTTTAAGGAAAAATAATAATAATAATAATCCTACCACGGCCTTGCGTCCCCTTGACGCGGGCTGCTTTCGGGCATTATTTGCTTCCCTAGGCTCATAAGTGCTGGTGTAGTGCATGGGCAGACCAGCATAAGGTCATGTGGGGTCAAATGATCCCACAAATTTTTGCCCTTTTTTAAGAAAATAATTGTTTTGATCACTTTATGATTTTCTTTGATGCACTCAATACGGGATGACAAATGAAGTCGAAATATTGCCTTCTTAATATCATTTCGAAGTGCTCATGGCCTATTTTTTGCTCAATAATGGGGCGTTAAATGGTCAATTATAGCAAAAGTTACGAAGAGTCAAAGTAGACGGTTTTAAACTAATATTTCGAGAATTTCGATTATATGCTAACTTTCAAAATCTATCAGCAATCAAATGCTATTCGAATCCATAAATTGTCTATGTCATATAAAAGCTATTTTCAAAAATTGCATCGTTGTAATATCGAATGGTCCAAACGAATGTCGAAAAATAATTAATGCGTCAAACGTACATGCAAAAAAAAAAAAAAAAGGTCGTCTAGCTCATCTTTTCTTTTAAAAAAGAAAGAAATCAATTATTTTATTAGCATTTATTATTTTTGCATGATAAATTGTTCAATATAATTTATATCATTTTACTGGGAAATTTTACATGGAATATGACGTCAAAATTTGAAGATTGTTACGGATTAAATGTATTTTGAATTACTTTTGAGTTATATTTGCTTAAAATTTGAAATTCACTTTCTGGATTAAACTTGGATTTATTTTAATTTATTTACTTTCTATATTCAATTTAATTTACTCACTATCGGCTCAGCATTTATCAACGAATTTTTGAACAAAATTATACAAATAGCAAAATTTATTTAATAATATTAACAATGATTTAATTAAATGACATATTCAAAATATCAAAATATGTATTAACTTATTTTCATTAATATATTTTTTTTACACACACACATACGTGTATGTGTGTGTGTGTGTGTGTGTGTGTGTGTGTGTGTATATTAATTTTTTACTCCACAGCACTAAAAGTCTAGGTCCGCCCTGGTGTAGTGAGCTTCCATTAAAAAGCGCCAATATTTTGGACAAATATCAATTTTTACATAAACATTTTTCATCCCATATAATATTTTGAACTGTGATTTTCATTAAGTTTGATGTTTTCTCTGGCTGCGGAATCTTCCAAGTTTCTGCTGTGCGAATGATTAATGTATCAAATCCTAGTGTTAGTACTCGTGCTAGTGCGTGTGCCTTAATTTAATACTTTGATTACTTGAAGAATTTGCACCGGCTCAAATTTGCACAAAATTTCCAAAAGTCTACAAAGTTGGAACAATAAAACGAGGACAGCATCACAGGCACGATCATCTACTGGACATAATGAAGTTCTTGATTGAGAAGTAGTTTAACCAATGAACCTCAGAAGTCCTTGTACCCACTACCCGAAGTCTGGATAACAACAAAAATTGTATGATAGAGATTTCAATACTTAATTGGAATTTTACGTAGGATTCAAACCGAGTACTCTTAATAACAATCAAGTAACACCTGCTAATTTTACAATTCTTCTTGTGGTTCCCTTTTTATGGGGAATATAATCCTGCGCTCGCAATCGCGAGCGATATAATATTCTTTCTTGCCTTCGTATTTGCACTTACAATCGGCAAAATCTTCTTTCCTTGTAAAGCATATATAAATCTCCAAAAGCTGGGATTTGCCATCGGCCGTGTAACACTTTATCCCCGCATTGAAATTAGTCTTTTTCTTAATTTTTATCGGAAATTGTTGATTAGCATAGTCAGCAATTGCAGTTGGTCCAAAACCTACAATAACATTTAGAATAATGCTATTCGTAGTCGCTCACTGCGATAGTCGCCCTACGTGGCATACACATAACAGGTGATTATTTGATGCATTAATGTATCAAATAACCACCTACCATGTGTATGCCACGTAGGACGACTACCGTAATGAGCGACTGCAAATAGCATTATTCTAACATTTAATACACATTGCAATAATTATATGCATTAATTGAGAAAATTTTAATTTTTTCATATTTTTACCTATTTGTCTTAAATATTCAACCAGCTCTCCTCCGATAATATCATCCAATTTTCTCTTGCAACGAATAGCCGACTTGAAATAAGAGTTCGGGTCACTAAATATGATGCCATGCCCATGCCGTCTCCATTCATAGTCCCAGAAATCAAAATTATTTCCGCGAAGATTTGGCCACATTTCATCTAGTTCTATCTTTATGTCCGCAACCTAGCAACACAAGTACCAAATATAATAGAAGGTAAGCCAATGATTATATTGGATTGACAACCAAGTTAAAATTAAACAGTATAATTTTTAATATTATGTAATTCAGAAGGACGTATATACGTACGTCCTGTTCGTTCAAGCCAACTTCTCCAGATGACATGTAATCTTCTTCATTTGTCATTACATGTCCATTTCTATCCAGTGCCCAAAAACCATGAGTTTTCAATTGTTGAGGAATCGGATGTTTACATTGGCATGAATTACAATATGAATTTGGCCATTGCAGTGCCAACATAAAGCCATATACTATTACGCAGAAAATAAGCTAATTAGCGAACTAAAGAAGTGGAGTAAATGCACTCAATCATCTCCTATTGATAAATGCTAAAAAAGTAACTCACCTACTATTTCATAAGCATGTTAAATATGTAAAAACGTGATATATGCAAACAAGTATATTTGGTCAGGCAGAGCAGTTTGAGTTTGACAACATTAGAAAATTAAAAACAAGGGACTAAAGTCATTAATGTTATGTACAAATGTACAAATTTAGAGCATGTTTAAGCCCTCATTTTTGAAAATAATGAATTTTGAAATAGTGTTTTGATGGAGAAGGTGTATAATTAAAAAATAAAGAAAAGTCTAGAATTTGCAGGTAATATTATTTTATTAAAAATATGAGATTAAAAAGAAGAGAGAGAAATAGTTATTAAATTGCATCAGATGTAGGCACGTTTCATTTTAATATGTGGGTCATCATATTTACACTTAACATAGATAAAAGAATAATTTATTTGAGCCAAAAATCAACTGCCATCCACTTCTAAATTCCAGTGACAAAAAAAATAGTTATCATACATGCCACTTTGTTCACTACCTTTTGACTCTTATAATTATTTTCTTTCACCCTTAACAGGCAGAAGTAGCTTAGCAATTCGATAAATGAAATGTATTATTTCAACAAGCTACTTCAAAAATATCGGACTTCAAGGAGTACCGTTTTTCTTTCTTCCCTGCGCCTTTATATGGCTACTTATGCTTTAAGAGATTGAGGAAGTTAGAATTAGACTATGACTCAAATTCTAATCAATACTTTGATTGAAATTACTGTTGGAGTAGTATTAGGAGTTGGTAGTAGACTAAAACAAGTCTTGAAGGAATTCTTGAAGAATAAGGAGTGTTTGATAAGTGTATTTTTAGCATTTATTTGGACATAAAAATATAAAAACTTAATAATTCTTTTAAATAAATATAGCCTAATTTATTGTATATTTCGTTCATTAGGTAAAATTCGATGATTAGAAGTTGAATTGAGAAAAAGAAGCAAAAAGGACAAAAAGGTCGAAGTCCAATATTTGAGGATCAAATTGTAAATATCCAATAGTTAATTCATGGAGTTTTGATGGATGTACAAAACCATTTCAATAGAAGTCTTCAGATCCTTAACTTGAGTGGGACCCACCTCATTAAAAAATGACCTTAAAATCTCCACCCCACACATGTTTGTGTGAGTTCTGTCGGGGTTCCCTACCTGATACCGAAGCATGACTCTGATTCGTACCATAAGATGATTCTTTGAAAATTGTTGGGAAACAATTGGATGCAATTAGAAGTAAAAAAATGAATAGAATATGATCAAAATATTATTGCAAATAAATTTTCAATCGCACAAGTTTTATTCTAGATTTTTTGCCGATAATTGTGACCTATTTTTGGTATAATAGTAAACTTCTAAATTGGAAAAACTTCTATTCCTATCAAAGATGCATAGAGTTAGATTTTTAGAATACTTTGATTCGCCTCAATTGGATATCAGGAGAAAAAGTTATGATCAAAATATTGACTGACGTACAAGACAAAAACATGTGCATGCGAAGATAACTTTCCTTATTCGAAAGGAATCTTTTTGAAAACCAATTTGGATGTGATTCTCAAGCAATTTTCTACTCCTACAAATACCTAATAGAATACATTAAAAAACCTCTTCTACACCTCTCATATACATATTATACTCGAATATTCATCAATTATTATTAATAAATGAGGAAAATTCATAATTTTTGTGAGAAGATAGAAGGGGACTTGCAAGAATTCAATCAAGTGAAGAAGGTACAAGTAGAGATTCATTGAGAAACCATTGAAGGGATTCAAGATTTCAAAATTCGCCTACATCTTCTCAATTTATCAATAAACCGGGTTATGTATTTTCACTTAAATATGATTTCTTACAATTTCGATATGTTAGGCAAGTCTTATATTGTGCTAGGATTAGATAAACCACTGTTATGATATTTTTAGCTTTTAGTTAAATATTTTGACTTTAATTTGGTTTTATTTGTGGATTTATTATAGTTTTTATCGTTCTTTTCAATTGCTCGATCACAAATTGAATTGTTAGTGAATTTTATTGTTATCAAGGGAGACAATAGGGTTTAAGCGCTACATAATAAACATTGTAAGATTCGATGGAAGATAGAAATATACCTCCATGCTTTATATGATTTCAATAGATGTTATAGCACTTAATGCATTTATCATATTTCCATCTTTCATCTAGAGATGAAAGGGTCACGTGAGAGGGATAGATTTGATCGCTATTGAGAAAGGCTTTCGATTAAATTATGAACATTTGTCAACATGAATAATTTCAAATTGTTACTTTAATTGTTACACTAAAAATGGTATAACGAGGATTTGACATCTTAACAATACATCTCATATATTTAACAAAACCTTCATAATTAGCTTAGTTAATATAATTAGACCATTTAACATAATTAGACCATTAAGGTTGAAATTAATTGACACTAAATTAAGTACGTAGTTCTCGTCGGTTCGACACTTTATTTACTATTTCATTACTCGTTTATGTTCCCGTTCACTTGGAGAAAAACAAACGCTCAATAGGTTAGGCATCAGTTGGACCAAGAAAGAGGTTAAATGGTCCAAGATTCAAGAGATATACAATTGGTAAATATATGGACCGTGAGCAACGTTAATTCCTTATTATTTCCAACGGTCCACATTGTTAATCTGGTCGAGTATATATACTTGATTGTTTGGTAATCAGTTGACCATCGACCAAGACATGTAAAAATATATTTTGACGTTTTACATCATTGCCTATAATTTATTGGCTATCAAAACCCAATAATAACCTACCATTAATCCTAGGGAATTCAGTCACAAAATCGTTTATCATCCCTTAGCTAAGGTTTGATCTACTTAGGCCTGAATTCTAGTTCAGGTGCTCCATGATCTTGCCACAAAGTTAAGTTCTTCACTTGAAGCTCTAAGATAAGCTAGCTTCCTGACACAGATCATATACGCAAGGAGAAATAAAGTGACCTTCTACAAGATCAGCTGGTTTTGGTAAATGCAAAAATAGTATTAGTTGGGTATCAATCGCTAAAAGAACCCAATCTATCGATCTTCCAAAGCAGCTAAATTTTACAGTTTATCCTTAAAAAATGACTCCAAATCTAATTCTTGCTTAATTTTTACATACCTTTTCGACTCGGTTGGTGGTAAACCTGAATATAAAAACACGAGATTAGTATTGTATTATTTGATGAAAGCAATAAGTTATAAAAATTAACAACATCATTACTAAGAACACACAATGATCTCCCCCCCCCCCCCCCCCACCCACACCACACACCAAATTCAAGAAATGAAGTGGCAATTCCATGACTCCTAATGCTTAAAAAAAAATGAAAAAAGAAAAAACAAGAAAGAAAGAAACTTGATTTACTTTTAAAAAAATAAGAAAATAAAAAAAAAATTCTTAAAACAAACTTCCATTTTCCAAAAATCAAAGATTGGACAAACAATAAAAGTTTTTAACTAAACAAATAAATAAAAACGAAACTACTTACAGGGAGGAAAAGCAGAGATAAAATAAGAAATGGCAATACTAGATGATTCCTCATTTCTTAGCCAGAAGCTGTGGATCAATGTTTCTTCTTGAGCTGGATATAAAAATATCATTTCAAGTTATATTAAATCTTCCATTTTATACTACATTCAGAAGTATAATAACTTCCTTGAGAGTATGACTATTTAATATTTTTCTTATGAAAATAGAAGGTGGTTATAAGATGTTTACAAAAATACTACCTTCATGCCCGCTATGTTTTCTACCAATTGTGAATAAGTTGTACTCAGATATTTAGATCTAAAATAATCCTTCCTCGAAAATTTCGATTAGATTTAAGCTACTCCATCTGCAACATGCATATATATTAAGCACATAGGTTGATTTTTATTTTTCTAGTTAGTTGGACTGTCTTGGAACTAAACCTCGAATTGATCATTTAACCAAAATGAAATTTCAACCCATATGGTCATTATGAAAGAATAAGAGTATTAATTATTAGAAAATTTAACCAAAATGAGAAGTGAAAAAAACAAAAAAGAAAAAAAAAAGAAAAAAAAGGAAGAAGTAAGAATACATGTCAATTCCTTGTCAACATTATCATTGCACTCACTGTTAGAGAATTTGATGGTGATTTCATTGTTTTTTTTTCAAAAAAATTGTGAAATCATCAACCCCAATTCATTTAGGTAAACAAAATGTACATGTAACTCGTCTACTCCATCCATGGTCTATAACTAGGGCCGGTCCTGTAATTTATGAGGCTTGAAGCGAATTCCATAAATTAGACCTCCCAAATAAAATATAAATGCAAAATCCTATGGTGTATTGCTAATTTAGAACTTAACCTAAAAGACAATTACAAAATATATCAATCATCTCACAATTGAAGGTTTTAATATAGTTTCTACGTGCGCTTGTGCAATTGATCCTACAATAACCAATCATATATGTAATACCCCCGAGCTTCACGTTATACATATGGCCAATATGATTCATGCATTTCATGCTAATTATATTGTCATTTGCATCAATTTCCTAATTGCTTTCTCTTAAAACGGTGCATTCGATCATCGAGACTTTAAAATCTTTATATAGTGACAATCTTTGACTCTTTGACCTAGGTGTTGAACTTTACATTGAGTTATGATAGAAAATTTAGGTTAGCTAAATGTTGGAGATTTGGCTTGGTAAGTAATGGAAAATCGAAAAAGTCAAAAATTAGTATCGACAAAGGTTCAAGCTTTCCATTCGGTTAATCGAGGTCACTGTAAACCTTAGATAGGTAATTGACATATTTGGGACATGAGGCATGAAGTGACAAGATCACAACGCAATAATATATGTCTCATATGACGTTATAAATATTGAGATGTGAATTGTTGAAATCGGTTAACAATCGGGTGTCAATCAGGTAAGAAATTAAATGAACGGTTGAGGAATTAGCCTTGAATTAGCCCTATAACGTATTTTGGGATCTTAGGGCAAGTGAAATAGATTATAAACATGCCAAAATAAGCCAAGGATACTTGATTTGTACAAGCAAAGATAGATATAAAATCAGATTATACTTCAAGTGACCACCTTATGCTTGAACACCTCGTGCTTGGGATGTTTGTCATTTTAACACTCAAATTTTTCAACCTTAAGGTGTCAATCTCGTGTCTACTCCCTAAGAGCTTAATATAGGATGAATATATATCTTAAAAGTCACAAATGGATCCAAATATAATGGTTGAAAGTCAAGTATTGCTGCAAAGAAGACACATGATACTTGGACAGCTCATGCTTAAGGATAGTTGTCCTTTGTTCATATTTTTCTTCACCCTTAAACAATCTCACGACCCCAGTCCTTAAGACTACTTATATGTCTCTTAAAGAAGACATTTAACCTTCCAAATATATCCTCAAGTGACCCCAAGAGAAAGAGAGAGCAAAGGAAGTAAAGAGAAATAGAAAAATAAGAAACTGGACTTGCAGTTTGAGCAGGTTAGTTCAATGCACAGTTTTGAAGTCTTTCCTTAGTTCTTTGGGATGTTTTATAACCTATTCAAACTCTGAACTTGATTGAAATTATGTGGGAGGCTATGGATAATTTTATGATGGCAAAATAGGGGAGATTAATTACAAGAACTTGAGGGAAAACAACTTGGGCAGAGATGTAAGTTGCTGGATTTGAGTAGTTTATACCTTGATTTTGGGATGACACTTGGTGCGTAACTTATATCTATAAATATGAACGTATATTTAAGTATGAAGTGTAAAAATGATTTTTATTGGTTTAGAATTCTATTGGTATCATACTAATACAATGGAAACCGAAAACTGTCCCATGGAAAATAAAACTGCCCGATTTTGTATAGTGGAAAATGGACTTTTTTGAAGCTTAAAACCATTCATTTGTTACAACCTTATGACCTGATTATCTTTGCATACATGTTATAGAAGTGTATTAAAAATTTGGGAGTCGTTGGATATAGTTAAAGGGGTGAAAAAGGATATGAAAAATAATTGGATAGTAATAGAAATCAGAAAATAGTTCTGCCCATTTGTATTTTTAATATAATTTCAACCTTTACACATCCATTAATTGTCTTCTGGCCCTAAAAAATGGATTCTAATGAGTATTAGGTGGTCGATAATAATTGGATGATGTTGACGTTCATAATTAACTCGAGAAATAGCGAGACTTATTGGATTAGTTTGTAATGATATCGGTAACTTGAAATACTGATTTCGTCTAATTTGTTTTTGTGTGAATGGATGTATTTTGGGATTGTATGTGTGTTGAGGTTATTAAATGGAGGATTGTCTTTAATATTAGATGGTAATACAAGTGATTTTTTTACGTTGAACAAGAAAAGAAAATTGATATACACTCCATAGGAGCTTGCACAGCCAAAGGCAAAAGGTAAGTAAAAATCTATTTGCAACTATGATGCAAGAGCCTAGTACTTGTGATAGGGTAATGTTGGAATAGTTACATAACTTTGATAAGAGGTTTATTGCACGTCATATGATGGTTATGATCGTTGAGCATGAGGTTGAGGAACCTATTGACATCGTTTTCATTAAATATGTCATTCGTGAGTATTTTCATCTGTATGCACGACATTTGATCATGGTTGAAAATTCTGTATGTGAAACATGATTATAGATTGAGTTTTCCTTATAAATGTTTTATTGACTACTACTAGGGCATGAGGCATGTGAGGCATGCTTATGTGATATGTTTTGGCATCGCGGGTGATACTTCCTGGGTGATTGCAAAAGTAGACTGGGGATAGGCCTTTAATGATCATGGGAGGGTGGGCCACTCGACTATGCTCTTGTGATATTATGATTATTGGCGCTGTCGGTGGGATACTTCTTGGGGGATCATAGAGGTAGTTAGGGGATGGCCCTCTAATGGTCACGAGAGGATGGTCCACTCACCGGTGTCGATTTTATATTGGTCATTTGATTATTGATTATTGATATTTATATTATATAGAGCCCTACCCAGTGCATAGTAGGTGGGTCAAGGGCCCAATGAAATGAAAGATTTCAAATGAAATGATTTCGAGTTGACTTTGATGAATATTGGAATATGATGCATCTTTATCGTGATGTTTAAAGTAAATGGTATAATGACATATATTGTTATTATTCACATTCATGACATGCATGATTTTTACTTACTAAACATTGGCTTATGTAGTTCTTGCATTGTAGGTGAGCTTGGAACTACATAGAGAGCATGACTGCCTGTGGAGCTCTTACAGGATTCCAAAGTTCAATGTACATGGATGACGACCTGTAGAGTTATTTTGTAGGCTGTTATTTTGAGTTTATGATATATTGTGTTATATGTTGGGGATCTTGTGTTGTATATCTTTTGACATGTTTATAACCTTAGAATATATATGTTGGATTATGATGATATAATTTTTATTTCGATATAATAAATGATCGTCATAGGTAATTAGGAGTTAACAAATAAGGACATATTTGTGAAAATGCCTATGTCATTTTATCAGGTAAAAAAATTATGTGGAATTCTATGTCTAGATCGAGTCATCAAGTTCATTCCCACATAGGGTAATGTATAGTCATCTATATAAATGGGGTTGTGACAGAGAATGGTATCAAAGCAAGATTATAATTATGTAGACTGCCCATATACATGATCTCGGAGTACGAAAGAGCACAGCTAAGCCAATAAATTTTATTTTGTTGCATTATTTTTACATAATTCATGAATGATATTAGCCAATCTTTACTTATAGCCATGGTGAAAACTAGAGACATTAGTAGTAGTAGAGCTAGAACTCCAGGGCAAGAGG